AAAATTTAGACATATGAAAACAGATGAAGAATAAAGCATCAATGAAGAGAAAAAAGTGTCACCGATATCTACACATGACAAGTTCACACAATCGTCACATGTATCACCCTTTCTCTCCCTTCGAATCCTAAATCATTTCACTGCTCGCAGTTGAGATGTCCCGATCCGATAATGTAATACTTCACCTTTCTATCTGCATTCTGTATATCAAACAATTAAGATAATATCATTTATCGTCATGTCTGTTAACATTACCAACATTTATCACTAAAACAATCTATGCTTTCCCAACTGTTTTATGCTATAATTAATCGAGTTTTATGCTACAATTAATCGAAATATAATTATAAAAGGTATTGCTTTCTTTCTTTTTTTTTGTTTATCGTATGCATTACTGTACTGATTATCGTAGAATGATTGCTTCAACTGTATGAATGCTAATTTTTTACTTACGTATATTTGTTCACTGTAAGGATTATCATCGTGATCGTTGTTCAGTTGTATAAATGCTAAGATGCATCTGTTCATACGTACTGTACTAACTGTTGGCTTACTGTAGCTAACATTGGCTTATTGTAAAGAAGGAAATAAGAATAAAATTTCATCCTTCTAAATATCAATAATTATCAAAATGAATCATTGATTATACTAATATATTTGAAAAAGATAGAAAATGAACAGAACGAATAATTACATATCATATTATACGATATATTAGCAACTACCATTAACATACTGCAACAAATTTTTAACGTCAACTTTGAATTTGAATTCTTTAATTAACATTTTAATCTTTGAAATTTAACTTGTAGTTGATTAAAAAAAGATGTGAAAATAAAGAATAAATGAATAAGGAGAATTGTGTGAGTAAACTTTGGAATTTAAATAAATGAAAATATATTGATGTATGAGTACAGTAACACTTACCGAATTACCATTATTAAGATGGTTAAAATCAGAGAGATAACTGGAACGAGATGGTGGTAATAGTGGTGTACGATAAGCAGCAGATGAAATACTGGGTAAAGCGCATATACTCTTCATATTATACGGTTCATTTCTGACAAATGCGCAAATTACAATATCATGTGTATGGATTGAAATCTGAAAATAAGAAGAATTAAAATTTCAAATCTTAAATCAACAAACCCAAATATGATACAAATTTTGTCATTAATGGATTAATAGATAATGATTTGATAAATCAGTGTTAAGTAATGTTGAGTAGTTCAATCGAAGTTAATAAGAAGTAAAACATTAATCATCATAACAACAACAATATTCATAATATTTATCAATTAATAATAACAATAATCCATAATGGCTGTAATCATCGATCGAAAACACAACTGGAGTTATAAAGACGGAGTAAATAAAAAATTTAATTTATTTAACATTTTTTAAACTAAAATCAACACTTTAAATTTTGTTATTTCTGTTGCTTAAGATAAATTTTCATAATTTACCGAATTAATGTCTAAATGAAAGAATCGGAACCATTTTTTAGTATCAATAAACTAATTCTATCAAAATATTGCAGTAATGATTTTACAATTTAGTTGACTTTTGACTTTTTAGATTTTTCACCTATCTAATTGAAATATTCGAAATATTTACTGAGGAAATATTATACATCTTGGTAATTAACAAAACAGTGCTACCTTCAGATGATCATTTAGATCATTCGAATCATCGATTTTGTGGGTGATAAATTATTAGTAGTATTGTCAGTAGTTGATTAATTAATTGATTAATTGTAATGGTCGATATGAGTCTATTAATCAAAATCGCTCCAAAAATATAATTATCGAAATTCAATTTACATCAATACATATTTTATCCTTTTGTTCTAATCACAAATTTCATCGTTTTCCTCCTCTTACATTCAACCAAACGTCATTTTATGCAATTTGATAAATTGCCTAACCAAATAGTAATTTTAAATAAATCTTTGATAAAATGTCAAAGTTTCATTTAAAAAGAAAAAAGGAAAATTTTATAAATTTCAATGTAAAATATAATCATTTCTATGAACTATCGTCCAAATTCGTACTCAAAATTACGAAAATTGGGAATACTTCCCTAAATTTGCCATTGAAATTTAAAAATTTTCGAACCTCAAATTCCAAAGCCTTTTTAGCTGCAAATTTGTCAAAATACAATGAAATTTTTAGACCAAAAGAAAATTCTTTTCCTCACAAAAATAAAATAAATGAAAAAAGAAAGATGAGAAAATTTTTTTTTTTTGAAATTTAATTTAGTATCAAAATTGAGATAATAACAAAGAGAATGAGAAGTGATATGTAAAGAGGAAAATTTATCCATAAGAATTTATAATATGATAAAACAATTGAATTTATAATCCTAATGACTAACAAATTATCATTCGCTAAATTATCCTATTATCCAAGGCGTCGTATAATCTGCTTTTTTATTGTCGTGCCAAATAAACTTCATTATTCAAAGCAAAATGATGTGGACAAAGAAATGGGAAAATATACAAATAGCAAATGCATTAAAAAACGATGGATAAACTAAAATGAAAAAAAAATTTTGAATTTTATAAAAGGTTTGAAAAAATTTTAATTTAAAATAACATTGTATAAAGGAAATTAATCACTAACCGATGGATAGATATTTTAAAAGTACAATGATAAGTACGAATGATAAATGTATAACTTGAAATTGAAATGAAATGAAATTTAAAAAGTTTATTTTTACTCATCCACATGTTATGAATTGAATAGAATAGTTTGTTCAATTATAGAAGTGTAATGATACATAAGTTAATTCAATATATGATTTCGTTATAACTATAATGGAATAGTAATTATGCGTTTTAATTAATAGAATTGTGAGCAGTAGTTTAAAGAAAAAAAGGATAAAAAAGTGAAAATTAGCTGCGAAATACTGGGAAAAGATATTTGAAGACAGAACCATCTTTAAGTCGTCGATGATCGTTACAAACGATAAGAAGGGATAGAAGAATGAGATGATGAAGCATCCCAGCCTATCATACTAATCTTCCTATTATCAGTCGGCATCATTTCTTTGATATTTTAAAGAAAATAGGAAAAAAGAGAAGAAAAAAAAAACCATATGGTCAAAAAATTTTCAAAATTTACATACATATATGCGCATATGTATACATGTATATAATGACCTATGACTTCTATAAATTGTAAAAGCAAGAAAACAACGATCGATAGATGATTGATTACCATTCATATAAATAAACACAGATGGCAATTACAATATTGCGTCCCTACATCTGCGACAGCTTCTTTTCTGAATAAATAAAGGATGATGTTATTTCGATTGGAGAGGATTGAAAACGATAAAAGAATGGGAGAGGATATGTTGCAAACAGGGTGTAGATTAAATGAAATGAAATTTGTAATACTTTATTTCAATTTCCTAATTATCAATAACAAAATTGAATCCAATACTTTTAGGCATTTTCCTTCTCCTTTGTTTCCTAAAATATTACCCATTTGAAGGATATATTTTTATAATAAAAAGAAAAATTAAATCAGAAATTGAAATAAAATTAAAACCTGGAAGAATAATGAATAAATAAAATCCATCGAAAATGCTAAATTAGTAGCGTAAAGTATGGAAATGATAGAATTTCATTAAGCAGTAAATTTCGATTGTTGCAATTATATCTCAATTTTTCATTTGTTTTTGGTTATTAAATGAAACAAAAAATTCTGAATTTTCCTCAAATACACAATTATTCAAATCACAAATTGAATTCCGAAGAACTAAAAGAAAAATAATAAATTCGATTTTTGCATCAACGGATAAGTTCTAGTCCTAAAATTATGGCAGCATTTATATTTCTCCTACCTTATAAAATTGAGTCTCTTACAGGTAAGCCTTTAAATTCCCTTTAATTTAATTATAAATATGAAATTTATTTGGGGTTTAAATTTTTCAAATTTTAATAATTTCTTTTGAATATCGCAAAAATATCCCCCATTCTATCTAGAAAAGCCTATAAATGAAATATGTTGCATATAAGTTTGCTTGAAGTTAAATTAAAATTCAAAATTTATTTTGTACTTGAAAATTTTATAAATTTTCATTTGATAGCCTTAAAATCGATAGATATGAATGAAGAAAAGATAATAGTAAAGGTTCCTTTTCAAAATTTGTTTCAAATTAAAAATTTCATACTTTGAACATTTTACAACTTTGAAGAAAAGGTGAAGGCATTTGGAATGAATCCAAATAAAGGTGAAAGGGAAAGGGAAGAGCCATCCATTTGTCCCTTCCGCTTCTTGTTCGGTCAACCGAATCAGCAAAATAGTTGTGTGAACCAATGTTTCTACCCCTTCCTTCTTTCCCTCCTTTTTCCCCTTTCCCTTCTCTTTCTTCCTCTCTCTATTTTGCTCTCCCTCTCTTATGCTATTCAAAAAAAAAAAAAGGAATAAGAGGAAATTTCTGTATGAATAAATTCAATGGGTGGGAGGATGCAAAGAGAACAGAAAAAAAAATGGGTTAAAATGCAATTATTTAATTATCTGGTTTGAATTAGCAATTTGAAATTCGAATTCATTAATCGATTAATTCAAAACTTTAAACTGATTGTTTTAATCCAAAAAAAAATTGCAATTTATTTCTTGAGTTACTTGCATTTTGTCAAAAATTCATTTATATATGCCAGTTGAAATCCATTTTATTGTTAATAATGGATTGTTCTGCTGCTAATCTTTTCCTGTTCTGTGATTTTTCTGACCCATTCCGTGAATAGTAATTAGCTACCCGTCGGAACCGTATGCTTATGTCTCACAGAATAGCAACTAGTCTAGTTCATCAATTACTCCAGCACACGGGTGAAGTAATTTGGTAGTAAAGGTAATGCCTTAGAGTTCAGGAGAACGAATAAGAATTCGATCGAGTCTCCCCTCAAAAAGAATTGTATTGTACTACCTAAATCCCCTCTGGACACAAGTGATTTCATAGCGCCCCACGTGGTTCGTTCGGTGTGTTCTGTGATTGTTGTTGTTGTTGTTGTTGTTATCAGTTGTTATCATTAACGTTATTATTGTCGCTGTTATTGTTGTTGTTGTCGTTATTATTATTGTAGTAGTGGTACTATTGTTGTTGTTGTTGTTGTTGTTGTTGTTATTGTCCTCATTATCATTATTATGTCTCTTTTATTTCGTGTCTACTTTTATTATTATTAATTTGTTTTCTTTTATACTTTCATTGATTACGAAAGGCGATTGATTTGAATTTGAAAACATGGTTTTCATAAAATGCATCTACTACTGAAGTTACAGATTTGCATGCTCAGTCGTTCCGAATGCCTCCAACTGGTTCCTTAAATTTGTCGCTTCAGGTGACCGGTAATGCGACTGTAAATACAGCAGGTGGAAATGATGACGAAAGAATCTGGTTAATCTTTTTTTTTCTGTAAAGGAGAACCCTGGAAAAGAAACAGAGAGGAAGTGTTATAAAAGCGGGAGGTGAAAAGGGGAAATTGGAAAAAGCATTTTAATATTTTGACGAATACATGTAGTTGGGGAATGGGTTTTTCAGTTGTTAGAAGTTTCTAGTCGATGCTCCTTCAGAAAAGCAGATATTTCTGAAATTGTGAGGAACTCAATAGGTTTATCGCAATTTACAAGTTGGGATTAATTTCAGGACTCAGATATTATCTGAAGTAAGCGCTAATGGTGTCAGCAATAGCGCACCAGGAACGATCCTTTTCCTAGGTAACACCACCAAAAATTGCTTACTTTATTAAATTTAAAGAGAGTGTTTGTTTTTTATAGGTTAAGAAGTCTTTATAGGTTATGCAGCTTCCACTCCAAACAAAATATTCCTTACTTGCCTAGTAATTCAGTAGACATTGTTGCGGTTGCTGGATTTTGGGTATAGTCACTGTATGATAGAAAATTGCCACCAGGAAAATTAAACTTGAAGCTGAAGGAAGCATGAAATGGAGTGTCAGCTTGAAAAAAGGTAAAGGGAAGTGTTATTGTGGAAGGTGATCCATGAATTTATTTTAACGAAATTTATTAACCAAATAAGTTGCAGAAGCTTGTTTATCGAATAATTATGTGCTGCACTACAGGAAATAGACAGAGTGGCAAAAGTTGGTTATTGAATAGACTTGAAAAACGGGAAACATCTGGTCGTGGTTCTGCGCTTGAGTATCATTTTTTGAATGTACACACAGATTATAGGGATGCAAGCTATGCGTATCAGTTAGCTTCGGCAGGTGCGTTTAGTCGATTTTCATCCGATTACTTTTATTTAATCGATAATTACAGTCAAATTCTGCTGAGACAGGTGATCGTGAAGGTTGGAATGTCTTTCCGTTATGTGTTTGAGGCAGAGTGGGATTTATTTTTGAAAAAGTTTTTTTTGAAAAACTTTTTTTTTATTGGAATATAATAGCTTTCTTAAGACTGGGTGAGTCTGACATCTTGCAGTTTCAGAAATTATTATGGAAAGCTTCAGACAGACTATCATGGTATCTAATTTTCCGTGCATAATAATGCAAGTCTAATTTGATATGCTTCAGCTATTTACACATTGCAATTTTAGGTGCCGGTGTTGCACCTGGTGAAAGCGTAACACTCCCAGTATGGGTTTTGGATGGTGATGTGGCGTTTGCGCCTCTGGTGAAATTTGCTTTAACTGCATCATTAAGCAAAAGCATTGTGATATTATGTGCGTCGATGCAAGAGCCTGGAGTAATACTGCCATCATTGAATAAATGGGTTAAAGTGATAAGTGGTCAGATCGAAAATATATTTGATAAAGCTATCGTGATGGATGCTCGCAAATCACGTAAGCTCTTTTATAAAATTCGTACCTTTGCAGGTAAGTTGCATATAATTCCTGTTTTAATACCTTTTGCTATATGCGACTTTAAATCTCAAAGATGAAAGAAAGGAGAAATGGACACTTGTTTCATCTATCGGGTTTTATGTTTGGAAGAATGCAAACATCATTTCAGAAGAATTATTTTGGCAAGAGTATGTTGAACCACTCGATAGCTCGATGCAAAGCGATAAAATACCATCCATGGAAACAGAACATGTACGTTCGTTATTTCACGATGTTATTCGTAGCTCAATATCTTGATTCAGTAGATGGGTGATCTCTCGTTTCTCTGCTTTGTTTAGCCCTCTTTTGTCTCTTAAAAAGAAAAAAAAGTGGTTAGAGGCATTTGTTCTAGGTACTGCTACCACTGGATCAAAATATCCTGACTCGAAATACAGGTGCTGCACTAGTAGTTGTGCTAACGAAGAGTGACTTAGCACATACTGAAATGTCTGATGATCAGCTCGATCGTTTACAGTATCACGTCCGGAAATTTTGCATGGCACATGGAGCTGCTTTGGTAGAACATTGTATATTTTTTATTAACGCTGTTTCTTTCATATCGAGTACTTGTGTGCACAAAATTTTTCCATTCACTCCTTAAGGCTTATATAAAAGACGTATTTCAGGTTTACACATCTGCGAAAGAAGAAAAAAATACAGCCTTGCTGTACAAGTATCTTATTCATCGAGTCTGCGGAATGCCATTTACAACACCTGCTCAGGTTGTTGACAAGAATTCAATATTTGTGCCAGCAGGTTGGGACAATGAGAAAAAGCTGGATATAATCAAGGAAGCAATCCCAGATGTGGACCATCCGTTAGAGGTCAATTCTCATTGATTATTCAGTGACGTAAATGATGGAGCATAAAATGTACGCTGCACTTGATTTGGAACTATGCTAAACACATTAACCTTTCATGAGATTTGGGTATAATCCTTAATAAGATCCACTTCTACTTGAAGGTGATACGCAAGTCTTGTCTTGAATTCGTAAATTCGTAGTTCATTTTAGCAAAAGGACTGAGGCAGTAAGAAAAACTTGATCTTTTCAGTCTGTTACAGATGGTGCGCGAAAGGCAATCCATACGGGACCAGGTTATTGAAGCAGAGGAAGAACAAGCGTTCCTACACAAACTTGCAAGTGTTGAAATTGCGTCACCAAAACGAACTACACCGCAGAAACAAGCAAGTGAAGGAGCAGATGGCAATTCTCCGCTAGTTTCCTTTTTCAATAATCTCCTTAGAACCAAGGAGGGTCAGGTCAGTTTTTTTTTTCTTGATGCAAGTTTCTTTCCATTGAATTATCTTCTTTTTGAGATTATTGGACGAAGGATAAGCATAAAGCATGTTTTTAAACTGAGCTGAACATTAAGCCTTCACTGAAATTTGGATATTGTCCTTGATATCTCTTTCTAACTGAAGATGATGAGTAAGGCTTGCCCATCGTTTTCAGTTAGAAATAGGTCATTATTAATTAAAAGTAGCTCAGCTAAAAATAAATATGTCTGTAGGTTGCGCAGACGAATCGTGCAGTGGTTGATCCGCAAGCACAGTTACAAAGAATGCTGGAACAGGTAAACAGTTCGGCAGCATCATCAGCGGCAAAATCAAACGGAGAGCAAGAATCAGTAACTCCAGAGTTAAATTCAGCTCAGCAGCAGTCATCATGAATATGAATCAAAGCTCAAAAAATCTGCTAAACTACAAAATTTTTTGCAATACGTTTGTTAAAAGCGTAATGATTTTATTTCGAGATTACTGTTGCTGCAAGTCTTAAGCTATCGCTGATGATTTTGAGGAAGTTAGACAGTGGAAACTGTAAGGGTATATTGTTCTTGTGCGATATATGATCTGCATCCCATCTTCTCTGTATTTACCTAAACGATATTTATTTGTTTGATTATTACTACTTGTCAGTATTGTCGCTGTGTTCCTGGAAGGATTGAAGTTGTACCGGAAGCTTATTATTATATTATATAACCTGAGGGATACGGTTCAGAAGTAGTCTTTAGATCTTCATTTCCAAATTACACCCGTTCTTTATTTCCAAGGTATACATCAATTTTCAAACTATAGACCCTCGATGCGATATGCCTCCTCATGTTATATATGAATGTTTACAGTGTAGATCACAGTTTTTACACCAAAATTTACCTATTTGTCTTTATTGCGAGAAAATCCGTATTAGAGTTTTGTTCCAAGTTGAGTTTAACCCATACAATTGAAGACAACTAAATTTTTATCCCGAGAATTCAGTAAACTAGACTTGGTGCAGAACTTTTCCTCATCCCCAGTGAAATTTCGGTGAAGTTCTTCCTGTCTGCTTTATATTTTAATACCAATCGCTTACTTAGCAGTAACTCATCGATGAGCATATTTAAAAGAAATAAATAAGTGAATCCAATCAGCAGCAATACTTGTACAACACGCACTAGTAAGTTCACAAAGAACGTGGATAACAATGCATTCATTCCTTAGAAGATTGGGATCTCACTCAATTTTTACAAATTGGCGTATTCCAAACGACCCTTCGCAAATGGTTGGAAAACTTCTAGATCTTCCTGATAATTGCAGTCAAGCTTGTGAAATTCGCAATAAATTGATGGTTTGTAAGGTACCAAGTCGAAGCATGGATGTATTACTTGTTTTTCGGTTTTCCTTAAATTAAGCGTACATTCAAAATTCCATAAAAACGGTGACGGAGAGTTCAGGAAGTCCGCATGAAGAATGCTGGAAATTGCTAAAAATTTCGAAGGATGAAAGTCAAACGCGAATGCAACTCACGATCGATTGAGAACATCGATAACTGGCTCGTCATTCTCAAGAAAAATATCCGCTCTGTATGGTAAAGACCGCTTACATGGCAAGCGGCGAATATTTACAATCGTACCAGTTGGCAAAATGCTTCGCAGAATATCAGTTTCGGACCTGTGTGGATGATACTGCATGGAATTTGGTAGGCAACAGAGATACATCTGAAAGAGATTAGGAACGGCAAATTTGAAATAGCTATGGGTTTTTTATTTTTGATATCGAATTTTTAGATAAGTTTAGGATGTATTTGTTCCTCTAAAATAGTGGTTCCCAACCGACAGTCCTAAAATGCAGTCTCTCCGTGAGTTGCAAGAAGTCAGTAAGAACTAAATATGGCACGTGAGGGCTATCAAAAATTAAAATTATGTTCCTTCTTTTCTGTATTATAATGTTACTCTAAGTTCAATACGTTGGAAGTTTTGATCAAAGTTCCTTTCCAAATTACCGGAAATTATTTTTGAGCCCTGTAGTCCCAGTTACAAATAAAAACGCCAAAGTGGTTCTTGGTCAAAGAAAGGTTGGGGATTACTACTCTAAAACCACGTCACATGTTCAGTTATTAAATGTCGCAGATGATAATGCAAACAATCTTGGAGATTTTCACCCTCGCTAAACACCATTTGTTTGGATGAAGTGTTCCGAATCCAGAGGATAATATCAAACACTAAGGATAATGCCTGACACCGAAGGTGATTCGACTGCTGCGCCACTTGGCACAACTTACTCTACCTCCGATTATGCATACACTTCTGATGAATATGCATCAGAGCGCCAAGAATCGAGGCCAGATTGGAACTCAACGGGGTTTGGTGTAATAGAATCACTTGTCACTGCGCCAATGTAGGTTTGGACATCAAATTCATACCACTTCACAGGACATTAATCGGCAAACTTATTGGGGCTAAAGTTTCAATTTAGAATTGAAGACGCTGCAACTTATTCAGGTAAGCATTATGCTTGTGAAGTGGTGGTAAACTTGACAAAGAATGATTTTTGTGCTGGATGAGGAAAAATTGGAATAAACTTGTTGAGGTTCTTGCAATCACTTTATTACTTACATCCCTCGATAGTCTTATCCTTGCCCCATGGAGGATTACAGAAACTTAAGTGGGATGTAATAAGCTCGCCGAAATTACTTCCACAAGCACATAATGATAAAGATGAACTCTGCTGATTTTTCAAATAATCAACAGTTGATAAATGTTCTGGAGATGAGATTCAATGATGAACCGTCTCACTTACAAGTGGTGTTTCCGAGAATTCTCTCGTAAGAAGACGTAAACTACCAGAGAGACAATCCAATTTTGGTAAATTCTTCTTCCACCCATGATCAGCGCTGCGTATCCATACCGTTTGATCTTCAACTTCCGCCACAATGACTCTGCATGGACTGCAAGTGGAGGTGTCAGAATAAGCACAAGCTAACGCTGGCATCAACCATTTTTCAGGAACAATTTTTAACTCAGACCACTGAAACAACAATTTCGTTAGATACTGGAGGGTAAGAAAAACAAAGGATAGAAGAATGAGAAGTAAAACAAAACAAGAGAAACAAGAAAGATACGTTTCTAGAATATCGATGTAATAAATAGAATAAACAAAACAAACTAATTACAAAATGACACTTACTGGTTCAAACTTTAGTTAATTCAATAGATTAAAAGAAACTTTTTAAGATTAAAATCATATTAAAACCAAAGATGAAACATTTTTTGACTCGGTCATAATTTTCAAAAAGAAATCAACTGTGGCCAACTTCCTCAACATCAACTAAATATACTTAAAAATTCAAGAAAATTTTACGATAAAATTTAGCAGGCTATAGTACTTGGATGCTCAAACAATTTCAAAATGAAAGAAGATTTTGAATTTGGACATACAAACAGAAATTAATCACTGAACACTGAGGAAGAAATTTTAATAGAACCTTGGTAAATAAGTGTTTTTCCAATTTCTCAATTGTCTTTTTGTGATATTCGCTATGTAAATAAACGAATCGGCTATTTTCGACATGGGAAATGTAGAGTGATTCATCAGTAATCGGCTTTTGTAGTCTAGAAATATGACAAGCTAAGATTCCTTTCTAGTCTTTTGCACCATTTCAATTCTTCCTTTCCTACTATCATTCTCAATTTGTTTCACATCTATATGCTAACAATATTTTAATTAAAGTTTTAATGATATAATAACTTTACCTTTCCAAATGCAACACGTGTGTAGGCTGTAAGTATTCATCTTCGGAACTTTCCTCACTCGTACATTCATTAGAAAAATCGTTGTTCTAAAACTAAATTTGTAAATTTCAAAATGAACTCCATTTTCCTGATTTCGCAAGGGTCGCTTAGATATTTCCCTTAGATATGATCTGGTCGCTTTCGCTGAGGCTTCGCTAAAGTTTATTGATTTATAAGTAAAGAAGATAGATAACGGCAAAAACAGATAAATGCAGAAAGAAAACGAGAAAATGGAGGTGGATGAAAGTTAAGACAACGTTTCAACTTCATTAATAGGAGTTATATTTTTTTTAACATTTGATATCATACTCACTCCCTTAAACAGAAGAAAAAAACTTTCGGAAGCTCTAAATAAATACCGTAGTAAATTGAAGTAAAAACGAGACTTAAAATCCTCAAAATAATTAGTAATCAAATGGTCGTCAACATAGCTGATTATACAGAAGGCTTATATGACCGAGTCACCAAAAGCTTTACCCATGGAAAAATTGCGGAATGGTTTGTTGAAATCACGAAGACTTTTCAGACGCGGAATTGTATGCATGGTTTTGAAAAGAATATGCTACACTGCATGATAAAAAAAAAACCCTACAGAAAGCTCAAATGAAGTGAAACGAAGTAAATGCCATATTATCAAATATCAAAACAACGAAATATACCATTCGAGCCAATTTTTTATTCCATCGCCTCTCTCGTGCCGCTTTATGTTCGGCATGCTCTTTACAACGATAAAACAGTTTACCAAGATTTCTCCCATGCACCGTTGGATGGTACAAATTAACAAGAAATGGTATGGAAGATACATCAGCAAGTTCTACGCGAACAACATCACCACAAGATTTAATTAAATTTTGGAACGCATTCACTTTCTCCACAGTTAAATCGTTCATATCAACACCTGATGCAATAATTGAATTGCCGTTAATTTTCTTCCAATAATAATATAAGAATTATTTCTTACTGATATATTAACTGAACATTTTGTGGAAAGAATAACTTAATGTATTTCACCTAAAATGATTTTTTCAATTCTGTTGACGAAGTTTTATCTAAAAACATACCCTTCATACGACAACGCAAAGCAAGTGGAGGCAAACGTCCAAAAACTTTCAGTAGAGGTCGAACATCCTCTATCTTGGCAATATTGTCGTAACCAATATCCACAAGATCTATTATTACACCATTCGCTTTACTGAATTTCAAGATCCTTGCACGCAACCATTTCATGTTATCGATCAATACCGCACATGGCGCACCAATACACATTTAAAAACAAGGTGAAATTGTAATAACCTTGCAAATTTTTAAATATTATATGAATGTCATCACATTCATATTCATTTTATTAGCGAGTCTAAATTTTCTGGGAAAAAATGTCATGCCTGATCACATGGAATCATAAATTCGTTTTGTGCACTGTACACAGCCTGAATTTGCCGGTATAGCTGCTCACGGGCTCGATCTAATGACTTCGGCTGTAAGGAAATATTGGCATTTCATAACCACAATTTGGAAAGTTTTTTTGTAATCATATGCACGAACGGTTACCTCAATGATACTCAAAACACCAATTGTTAAAACTATTCCATTTAATTGATTCCCTGGCTAGATTGGCGTTGGTTTTCTAATGATTATACATATATCCGAGAATTCGTCACTATTTAGAAAAATTCGAAAACAATATTTAATAAAATCGGCATAAAACTAATTACAATTTGACTAAACGTGGATTTCCTTTTTTTTTTTTTTTTTTGTAAAATAAACAGCGAATCGACATACTTGGATACTAAAATCATAGGGTGAAAAAGAATTCGGTAAATGTGCGTAGAAAATGGGACATGTAGCATCTGGCTGCATTGCAGGTACATTAGAAGTTGTAGCAACGTTGTAATGGTAGTGAGCAATCATCTGTGCTTCGGCGTATTTCCAACAGTATTGTGGAAAGGCTTCAGCCATATCTAAATTGATTCGAAGAATTACAAGAGACAAAAGTACAAAAGGTACTTATTCATCGGGAGATTTTATTTGCTGCATTTCAGGAAAACTATGGAATAACAAAACTGTAATGTTTTGCTTGATTGATTGGTACAGTAGAATTAACCAAAATTTAGGAAATCGTATCACCAGCCATTAAAATATTGAGTCAATCATTTCCGGCTGCAATTGAAATACATATTAACACAAGATTCCTAATCATTAATATCTCGATACTAAACATTTTCTAGAACCATCACTATCAAAAGCACATACATCGTAATTTCCATTCCGGATCACCCGGAACTTCAACCAAATCGCGGCAATCACTCCATTCAACTTCCTCCTTCTTGTTTACAAGCAATTCTGAGTTGAAGTCGCCCGATCCAGTGGACGGGAAATCTCTTCCAAAAGTTGACGTAACTTGGGAAATGTCGACAGTGCTAAAACCAGCCATCCCGGTAACAAATCTGCAATGATAATCTTGATCAATTCCTACTTGTCAAGAGACAAGTCGCAGTTCAATGAGCTACCATTTACAACTGGTAGATGCCGACAAATTTTGAATGAGTTTCGAACACCTAAAAGGTAAGATGCATACAGGACCTTGATGCTTCGTTGCCAAAAAATTCGCTAATTATTGGAGGAAAAATCTTCTGCCTTCATCACGCCTTAATGACTAAACCAATTGTAATAAGCGTAGAACTGATCACCTGAATTGCATCTACCGCCGGCAGATATTCATCTTCACCATTCTTTTTACTTCCTGATTCCTACCTACTTTTTATGTTTATCATTATTCAATGATCCAATAATATAGGACAGGTTGCCAATAACAGTGAATATCCATGTATGCTTTATTATACACTTATAAAAGTAATGAAATTCAATTTATTTCGAAAACATGAGACAAGAAGTAATGGAAATCGAATGCAATGGATACATCGTAATTATTACAATACTGTACAAAGAAATTGTATACTGTCCTCAAGTCTATGATTTCAAGGACCGAAAAAGTTCCATTTGGAAATAGAAATGCACTTTAACCTCTCAAATAGAAATGCATTTTTTTTACCCTCTTGACAGTATTGTCTTCCACCTACATAAGTATCTTTCTTCCTCTATACCGTTTCACTCGTTCTTTTCAAGACAGTTGCAGCAGTCTTCCAAAATCACTTCAAAATTTAACATATAACATATAAGAACCTTCAAACTTCAGCAGGTATACAAATGCGAAATTTAAGAAAGCAGAATTGAGAGGCAGTATTGCTAATTCTCTAAACAAAGGCTGACTATAAGTATTATAACACAGAAACAGATACCTGTGCATGCTAACTTCATAACGAATGACTACTGAAATGGGTATCAAAAAATGAATCCAAATGTTGCACTTCATCATTTTCGTACTCCTCAAAAGCGCTCTCAAAATCAACATATTCGATGCGTGAAGTTGATGCCTCCAGATGCTGGAAAAAAGAATAGATCACAGCAATAAATCTATATGGATTCTTTCTTAATAACAACAAAACATCTACAAAAAAGAAAAATCAATTCCTCTACATTAGTTAACATAATCCATAAAAAATGATATGAAGTTTGGCTGGACTCTTCAAATTCATTCATTATTCATCAAAAAACATTCGACAACTAACTGATTTTTGTAACAGCAGTACAACAATTGGTAATTAGTAAAATTCTGATGTTTTAAAATACCAGAGTATTTGGAATATGCAAATTTTCACTAGAGTATTAAAAAAGTTACTTCAGATATATGTGATTGGTGTTCTGAAGATTGAGGAAGAATAATAGCGTCGGTTGCGTTTTCTTCCTGTGCATAATTTTTAAATTTTCTATGTACCAGTGCATCAACTTCTGGATCGTTGAATGACAGAATAAATGGAGCTTTCAGTTCACGTTCTTTTCCGGTTTCAACTTTACTTTCATATTCAGACACAGGAGATGAGTATAAACTTTCCGAAAGATTTGATACTGATGTTTGTTCACCTGTAAAACACAGAAAATGTTAACTGCTTTCCATTCTGGTGGATATAATTTTCATTCATTCCATTCATTACAGAGCTGGGATTTCAATTGTGATAATGAGATTCTGAAACTGCTTTTCGAACTACAGATTAGCCTGGAAGCAATAAAAAAGCCTGTTGCAAATTTACCTTAACAATCGGATATAAAATCACAAATAACTAGAAAACTGATTAAACGTTGAGTCATAATGATTTTATAAAATGACTGAAATCCTGAGAAATTTAGTAAGAAATCTGGAGTAAAAATAAAACAAATTTACCGTTTTTCGCAAATGAATATATTCCATGGAAGTCGGTTCGCAAACTCCTGGTGACATAGTAAATGGAGCAGATGCGATATGCTGCATCGCGCTGCTTACTTCATCATCCTGATTATTCCTTGCTTTCGAACACGGCAATATGCTGTCAAGCTACAAATATCTTATGGCACCGTAATGAATACGAATTCCTACAATTTTACTGAGATTTACAGAACCTATAAAAACAGAAATATCGGAAGATCAGGATATATCTGCTTAAAAATTGAATAAAGAGAAAACAAAACTCACATCTTTAATGCCAAGACGATGGGCAATCTGAACACGTAGAGCATCTGGATCAACAACCTTTTTGAGTGTTTCCAAATCTAGCATATCTTCCCGACCAGATAACCTCTGCTGCATACGTCGCACGAGACGCTGTTGTTTCACCGGTATTGATGGGACAAATTTCATAATTTTACGTTTGCATAATTCGGAGCCAAGAGCATCCAGATATTCGGCACGATTGTATCGCAAATTATACGCAGTTACCTATTAGATAAGCATGTTTCGTTGGGCTTTACGAAGAAAATAGCACACGATCTAAAACTTAAAAAGTAGGCAAAGAGAAAGGGATTACTAGAGCTAAAAAAAAGATTATATTTGGCTCCAGTTATTAGTTCCTAGTATAACTTGAAAAAAGATAGTTGTCAATTAGTTTTTCCTAAACTATAATTTCACCAAAACTATATTTGTAAAATAAAAATTATTAAAATAAAAATTACAAAAGCGTCTAAATTTGTACGACCACCAAAATGCACGGGCCGACGCCAATTCAATGAGTCGAATATTTCATTTGAGATCATATCGGGACGAAACTTTGAAGGAGAACCTTTCCTGAAAAACAATGTAATTTAAACATTGCAATAATAATGAAGTAGAAATATAACTATTACTGCCAATATCAATATCATCAAAAAAGCGAGAAATATCCTACCTATCTTTTGAAGTGGATGATATAGCAACATAACGCAAAACAAATTTTGAAGTATGTAATACAGAAATAATGTGATTTTACATTATGAAGGGTAGACTCGCTGATCGAGAGTCTTGTGGACAAGAAAAGGACAAGTTGATTTTGATAAAGGAAAGTTTTATTAATTTGAAATTAGAGAAGTGTAAGGAACACTCTTGAAATGTTCCTTACATATGTCTAATACCATTCCTGCAGTTATCTACAGTCTTCAG